GTTTAATCATTAGATCACATTTATCCCTGCTATAGCCTTAAGGATTTCATTGAATTTTGGATCAATGGGGTTTTGTGCCCGGATCCCACAATGCTAACAAGTAGTGAACACCCCCACACTCTTATGCATGTACACAGAGATTTAAAGTGATGCTGTTGGGCACAGCTCCAAGTACACCTGCTGCTTCTCTCATTTTGTCACTTGGCAAAAAAAACCCAAACCAAACCAAACCAAAACAAAACACAAAAAAACAAAACCCAAAAACAAACACAAAAAACTAATGCAACAGTTCATGTGCATGGAAAATGGTAGCACTAAACACAAGTCTATTGTCCGTTTCAAGGGAAGAGTCTCACCAGCTAAATCATCAACAGCAGATACAATAAAAATCAGTTTCTAGGTCAAAGAGAAACAGAGATTTCAGTTTCAAAAGTATGCAAGCTATTGAAGTGTCTTGTTTTTCAAGAAGCTTAGACCGTGGGCCCACCACAGGCTCATTTACAAAGCTCAAAAGCATCAGGGTGATTAAGTGCTATGAGTGTGTCCACGGGCTGGACAGCATTTAGCAGTGCTGAGTGTGATGCATGTATGACATAGCATACTACAGCTACATATAGCTTTGGAATTAAAAAAAAAAAACAACATAAATCTCCATTTTCAATGGGTTCATCAAATCAAGACAAAGAGAATGAGTGACAATAACTATGGACACAACTCGCACAAGGCACTGCGATAACTTGTTGTTTTACATATATCATCCTTGTTAAACATATTAATGGATCTAACAGAGTACCACTGTGGTGAGCAGTGAGGTGTTGGCAGCGATACTGCTTTTTAATAGGACATGTTTATATATGCTGCATCGTCATTGTGAAAGCACTGAAGCTCTGGCCTTATCCCAAACAGAAGTACAAGCCTGACATGAAAGTTCCTGTCTGCCCTTCTCTATTTGTGTCATACAGGAGGGCACAGGTGGTCACAAACCTCTTTCAGGTCTTAAAATTCAGGGAGATAGAGCAAACTCATAAGAGATCCTCGTTACCTCGTTTCAGTAGTATATACCAGCATCCCCTAAAACTGCAATAAATCGCAGTGATAAAACCTACACTCCTTACTCCTGCAAGTACCCAGGACTGCAACCCACACATTCACTGGATAGCTGAAGGTAAGAGTAAATGACAGTAAAAAACAGAAATCTCTCTGCACCAAGAATTTACATAACTAGCTCTAGTTACTGCTAATGAGACTGGTTCCCTTAACTCCTCCATTACGTTTTCCTGCATTTTCAGCTAGCTCTAGTAGCAAGATACATAATAAATTATTATTAAATAGAAACCAAATGCTCACATTTCAAGAACGTAAAACTACAGATTAAGCAGTGCACAACTACTTTATTCTAACTAAGATCTTTCAACTAGCAGCCTGGTGCACTAGATAAGGTACCTGAAGCTACTTCACTGTGCACAATCTGCCCTCCAATTTTGGAGTTTTTGAAATATTTAAAATCTTTTCCCCTCCCTTTTGCCATGGAAAACACCTACACAACTAGAGAAACATCAGTTACAGAGGAGAAACTGTGTAATCAATTTTGTATATTTGACAGCAACTTCCATTTTTTCCTTCTATCTTTTTTCATCTATAGCAAGGATTTACTTCCTTTTTTTTTTTTTAAAGATGGATTGTATTTTAATAGAGCAATTGCCTTGAGAGCTTCCTACTTCTTGTCTTATAATACACCAATAGCACTAAAAAAAGACAGCGTACAGAAAGTATTTCAACTATTTTAATCTGTCCTTTGAGAGGAGTCAGCAAATGGAAGTAAGGAGAAGACTACAGTCATACGATCACGTAGTGGTCCGCAGACCTCCATAAGACATGGACGTCATTTTAAGAGTCAGCGAGCTGCAATACATTTAATCTTGCTGTTCCATACTACTGCAAGCACATTCCATGTGGTTGAGAATTAAGAAGATCTCTTGAAATTACAAACGCTGTAGCAGCACATTTATTAGCAACTAACAAACATTGACATTAGACAAGCAGGCACTGGTCAAATTGCCCAGACTCTATAAGGCTGTCACTCCATGCAACAAGTTATCCAGCATGATCCTGCTTACAGAAAAAAAAGGAATTTGGAGCAAGGGAAAAACTAGCAAAGAAGGTTGCCAACAGTGTTCTAGAGCAGTTTCTTTCAAACAGCATCCATTAACCCATCCCAGGCTTTCTCCCAAGGCTCTCAGGCACAACTCTTACACAAATGTGTGGCAGCAGGCTTCTCTTTCAGCCACTGGGACCAAGACAGCTCTACATCCCACAGCAAACCACCACACAACAGGTTGTTGCAAGTATGTTGTACACAGTCAGTCACTTGAAGAGAGAAGCTGAGCGGCTTACACCATGAGAGCCCCTTTTTAAAAAGAAAGCAGCTATGTACATGCAGAGCTTCAGTTGCCACATGCAGAAATCCCTTACAACACTTGAACAGGCAGCTGCCGAAAAGCAAACGCCAGCTGGCAGTGTGGACAAGCTCCCTCTGAAGCCATCCCATGTGCACGGTCTCTCCAACACAACTTCTGTAGCCTCTCCTGTAGAGGCTGGAAAACCAGGGGCCTTCCCCTTGGTGTAAGAAAGGGACGTTCCCAAAAGTGGGGGCAGAGGGAAGGTATCCGGAAAAAGAACAAAACAAAAGAGAGGGGAAAGGAGCAGTAGGAAGAAAGAAACAAGGAACAAGAAGATGGAGCAAGACAGAAGACATTTTTTGTATTGATACCCTCCACCATAGTATCCATCAGGGAAAATAGAAACAAATACAAGTATCAAAGATAAAAAAAGCATTGAGAGAAACATGGGGAGAGCAAAGGCCAGGAAGAGTAGCTGCACCAGTGTCGTGCTCAGGTTACTGCTTCCTACCAGGTCCTAAACTCTAGAGACAAGATGTTAAACAAGGCTTTTGAGCAGCCCATTCTGCTCTGGCATATCAGAAGGAACCAGTCACCCACGCTTCCTAATTGTGGTACTCATTTGGGGATACAGAAGACAAAATTCAAACAAACAACTTTAGAAGCTGTTCCAAATGACCAGAAGAGTCTCAGTGCCAGAGCAGCTAGCACTTACCCACTCTGAAAAGCCTTGACATCCTTATCATTTGTGTGTCACAAATTCCCACACAGAGAGGCAACAGCACCAAAACGACTCCCTTTCTTGTTAAAAAAAAAAAAACAAAACCACATCCAACCCCAAGTCAAACCCATCAGACAAAACACCTGCAAGGCAGAAGCCCTTGAGTAGGTTGAACCATTTAACCTACAGGTAAACAGACTCTGTGATCTGAGAAGTTACAGATCTCATGTAACACCTATGTGGCATCAATACTGACACAGTAAGAAGATTATTAGAAAAAAACAACCCACAACAACTTACAACAAATAAATAGCTCCTACTGAACTGACTAATGAGAGGTGTTATGTGGGAATAAAACACACCCTTTCCCAGGTTTCACGAGTGCTGCATGGGGCCTGTTCAGGTGCCAACCATTAAATGATCAGAGGACTGCAGCAGGTAATTCCTGATCTGTTTAAGGAACAAAACACTTTCTCCAAGGAGTAGGTAATTCATTATTACAGGTCTCCAAACTAAATCATATTTTGAGTATTTCGTAGTTAAAACCAAAAGCCAGCGACAAAGGCAAGCTGGGCAAGGGCTACCAGGAAGATTGTACAAAGGTCAAGGTTAAAAGGAAAAATAAAAAATCATGCTCTGGCACAGATCCATGGGGCAGCTGCTGAGTCACAACCCCTTAAACACTCATTAACTCAGTGCTGTTCCACAGGAATAAGGGCACCAAGCACTGGTCCTGTGCCAGAGTGTGGCCCTGAGTTAGGGTACAGCCCTTCCTTCCCCAATGAGGTGCACAATGAACATGCTGAGAACAGCTGGACAAGACCAGTGAAGATCCTGTTCCTGCCTGAGGCAGGCTCTCACCATTACATGCACATTCTTAGACATAAAGCAAAAGCAGGCACCATCTCTGCTTTCATATATATATTTATATACACATAAATATGCGTACACAAACAAATTATACATACAAATGTGTACATATAGATATATAGCAATATCAGAATATGCTGCTCACACTTCACTCACCTCACTTCAGGCATTATTGTACATATGCACATATTCCCCCTCTTCACATTCAAACTAGCGTTACAGTTTTGGCTTTCTCCATGGAGAAGCTGGGAAGGAGAGCATTGCCTACCAATAGCGTATTAGGATAGAAAGTTTCAGGACATGGACAGTCCTCAGATACTCTCCTCTGCCCAAGCAGAAGAAAGGCACTTTTCGATTCCCTCCTCTTTCTTCCCTTCACCCTCCTTCCACCTTCTCTCTTACTTCTCCAATAGCATAAGAAAAATTACATCACATTTCAGGATAAAAATGGCTAAAACAAAGTGAATGACTTGACATTTTAAGGTAGGATCAGGCACAAACTAAACCACAACGGAGTGGCAGGTAGCCAGCAGTACCTCCGAATGGCCCACATGGCTTTGCTGGGCACAGAAAGGCCACTGCTCCGCTGCTCCTCAGGTGACGCCGGGTGGCAGGAGTTCCAGGTGCCCCGGTGAGCAAAGCGATGCTTCCCGTTCTCCCGTCCGGCTGGAGGGACCTGCAGCGAGGCAGAGGGAGAAGCTGCGGGCTGCCGGGCAGGTCTCTGGTGGATCCCCCCGTTTCTCCTGATTATGCATGCAAAGAAAAGAGGGGGGGGTGGGGGGGGGAAAAAAGAGGTGAAAGGGGAAAGAAAAGGATTTAAGGATTTTTATGTTTCACATTTACTTATCAAAAGGTTGAACATTACGAAAACAGCACAAAACAGAATCTAACTACAACAGATGACACTTTATTTAATCCAAAATATAAAGTCTTTGCTCACTGGGAGGACAGGATTTATTAGTTCCTAACTAGATCTAGAGACCTGACAGCAACAGAAGATGAGCACTCTCATATCAAGCTGTTCTCTGGACCTCTGGTAAGATGAGAAGGACTGCAAGGAAGAATATGGTGTCATTCCTAAATTTTTTGCTGCAGAAAATAATTGGTGTTCTGCCTCATTTAAACAGAAAACAAATCTTTACAGGTTGCAGGAAGGAGCACAAGGAGATGAGTTTCAGCAGCATGTAGAAGACTGCTGGTTTTCTGCTGCCCCCTAAAAAAGCCAAATACAGTCATAAAACCCTGCGAACCAGACAGACAGAAAAGTGCACAATACATGCAACCAGAGCAAATATGAAAATGCAGCACATCTGGACTAAAGAGCTTCATTCCTGCAAGCTAAATAACTGCAACATCTGGGCAACTGGGTGCTAGTGAAGCAAAGAAATAACCTGAAGAGGCCACTAGAATGTGAATCTAGGGGAAGGGAGAAGGAGGAGGGCACAGATTTTCCCCCAATTAATTAACATTTGTGTTACCTTTAGCCAGGCAGCTCATGGAACACGCCTGGCAGACTGTAAATGCAAGTGTTAGCAAGTGTGCTGGCTGTCACCCCAGAACACTCCTCACTGGCTTCTTGCCCACCAGTTACACCATTATGAATTACTTATCCTGTCAAAATAGGAGGAATCCTCTGCCAATCCATCGTACCTGCCTTCTGATTGCTATTGCTGCTAGAGGGGCTGGAGGGCGGGCAGATGGACCTGAAACATGGTTCATCCCCCATTAGGACCTACAGGAATGGCTGAAACAGGAGAGAAGCTTCTGAAAGGGGAGAGTCCCTCTTCTCCTCCCCGCATTTGCTGCTCTCACATTGTGCCAGTGCTGGCACTCCCCAGACCCTTCTGGGAGCTGATTTAATTCACTACTGCAGAAAACACGAATTCAGTGTTCTTTTTTATAACCTAGGTACACCTGCTCACGCAGGGGTGTGACAGGCTCCAGAGCCTGTAGGGCAGAACACAAGAAGCAATGGCAGGAGCAAAACCTCCCATTCTCAGTGGCAGTAAACTCTTATGTTCTTATGTTTGTTGATAGATCTGCACCAGGTATGGTTTGTGAAAGACATGGATAAAAAAACCCAACTTCTATCAAACAAAAAGACTTCTGACTTTTAATGGAGATATAGAACAGCATAGTTATTTGTGACATTAAGTGGGTGAGGGAGACAAACTTCAGAGTATTTGATTTTTCTCCAGTGACTGCTGAGAACTGCTAATTATTCCAATCATTCCAGAACTGGCTATTCTCCCTCTTTTTCCATTCTGTAAAGACAGAGAGGATCACACCTGATTTTACTACTAAACATCATATGGTATTTCTACAGCCGTGACATTGTGACTGAACAATCAAGCAGATGTTGAAAATGGAACGAGTTAAGCCAGAGAAATCTTACGTTCATGCTTCAGTCAGAACTCACACAGAAAAAATAAACGTTAGTCTTGCCAGAGTGAATTGAGCATTTTAGAGATCAGTTCTTCACATTGGGTCTATCTGCCCAGCAAAAGTTACCAGGCAGCAACAGAGTAACAAAAAACAAAAATGAAACCTTTGTGCCCTCCAAACTTGTCAAATGCGTGCCATGTAATCCAGCAGGGCAAGTCCATCTCCCACAGTGCTGTATATAATAATATATGTTTTGCACACGCAGGTAGCAACACTTGAAAAGCATGGTGAGCATAGCAAGTTACTTACAGTTTGAGTCCATTGCAGGAGAGGGAAAAGAAGTCATAAACCAAGCAAACACCAAACACAGTGACTCCAGTTTCTTTCACCAGCATTGCACACGTCCCAAGGAATAAACTAAGCAGCAAAAAGAATGGGGAGGCAGTGGGAGGGAAATGTTCCCCAACATAAAGCTGATCCACACTCCTGAAAAACAGATTTGACAAATATTTTAACTTCTGTGTTATTTTCATATTTACTACATTCACACAAATACTGAGATACTTTTCCTTAATTTCTTAAGATGCTGGTAATAAGGGACATGAACAATCTACACTGTGTGCTGATAAATGAAGAAAGGTTTAGACACAGGACAGGAAGGGAAAACACAAATATTGAGAGGTGCACCAAGAACTTGAACAGAGGAGGGGAAAAAGACAAGCAGAAAGATAAAGTGGACTTGAAACAGTCAGAGGAAAGCAGAGTAAGCACAAAGACAGAAAGGGCAGAATAACACCTGCTTTCCGTCATCTAGAACACACATGCTTAATTCTCCTTCTGTGATAAAATACACTATGCAAGCAAAAATTCCTCCATCCCACCCACACTAGCCCAAGTCAAAGATGTCTCCTGATCATTAACAGACCACGCAGCAAGTCTGTATGAGAAGGAAGAAGGTTAAGAATGAACAAAAATCAAATGTGATTCCTGCAGGGTCACTAACCAGTTTTATGTCTTAGTATGACATAATGATGAAAACAGCGTTGCAGGTTTGTAGCGAACAGCCCAAGAGGGATATAAGCAGTTTTTCCACGCAGCCAAGACGACACAGTGCCATTCCAAAACAAAGTAACAATGCAACAGGGGCAGAAATCCCATTGAGTAAAGCTATTTCTTTATCTATACTTGTTCAGTCACAGTTTTAGGACACAGACCAGCAAACAGTGCCAAGTTTTCATCTGAAAAGGATGACTAATGGTCTAGACACAATCCTTAACTCTGCCAGACCAGGTATTTCAGAGTCCCACAGTCACAGCACGTGTTTCAAAGGCAAGCACTCATCTGTCCATTCTTCACTCCACATACGGACAATCTGCCTTCTGTTGAAAACATTTCTTCACAATTTTTAGCTCTACAAGCCCTCTTCTAGTGTATGGTCAGCTGTAATGTCAATGGAAGAGGGGACCTTAAAAGCTGACATTCCTTCTTAGGTTTATTTGTTCTCTTAAGCATCACTAATTTGGCAGTGCACAGCTAAAAGCAGGGGCCAGGATGCTTCCACACAGCAATGCTGGGGGAAGTACCTCTGCCAACAGCAACGGAAAGCTGACAGGTTTCCCCTTTGTCTCCTCCTCAGACTAGAACACCTCATGATATTACCACAACCGATAGCAAGGATCCATACCTATTATAGGAGAGAAAAGCCAACAGAAAGAGTAGACAGGCAAGGACATCCGCTCTGCCTACTATACCTGTTACCTAAAAGGAAGAGAGACACACGGGTGTAAAAGCACGTATATAAAAAGGCATGTGCATTCAGTGACAGTTTCAACTATCCATGCTAACTGCTACCATTGTACGCTTTTTATCTTTCAGTGTTATCCTCCCTCAATATAGTGAAATGTTACTTGTTTAGTGTAGGATATGCTCAGTTTTGTCTGCTGCATTTCTCACTTGGCAAAACAAATGAGTAAGTCAACAGTTAAAGCATTCTTTACTTTCGAACTAAAATTATTAATAAAGTTGCATAAAGAAATGCCAGTTTTAGGGATATTTTTAAATTTTGTATAATAAGGCTCAAAAGAGAAACATACCCAACTCCCAGAACTGAGATTTTTTAAAGAAAAAGACTAATAAAAGAGCAACTCTTTGGAGAAGACTTATTATATAGGAATGAGTCAATTATTAATATTTGAATGAACTTTATCACCAAAAAGTGACAGAGTGGTATGTATTTTATTCTTTCTGAATAATCTGAGTTTGAGAGATTTTTTTTTTACATATTAATTAAACAAATCTTTTTATAAAAAAGGGAATACTGAAGAAGAATGTATAAACACTCTTTTTTACAAACCATTTCAATATTCCATTTCATAAAGATCTAAAAATGGCCCATAAAGCAAATAAAAGGCCCTTTGAAATTTTGCCTCTTTTGAGATTACATAATTAAGCTATATTCAGTGCTCTGGCATTTATTTTAACCTTTTTAAGTTCCGACCCAGACAAAAATAAATTCAAAGAGTCCCTCTACTAAAACCTCCCTTATAATATAAGGCTGTATTATCGAAAGGAGCCTAGCTGATTAGTTCACACGAGACAGCACAGGGAGTATCTGTAAAGCTCGTGGCTTTCTGTTATTAAGGTAATCTCTCCTCAAAAGTTCTCAGCCGTGGCAGCCGTTTCCCTCGCTCATTTACAAAGGCTCCTAACGAGAGCGTGTGATGTCAATGGTATCTCAGCTAATGAGTGTATTTCTTTTTTTTAAGTACGGATAGCTAGGCATTGCATTTCCTTCTCAAAGACAGCAAGACCCATTTTATCTACAGAAGTACCTCCCCATGCTAACAGACTGCAGTTTTAGCATGACAATGTCTTAAAACGTTTCCTTATAACGAACAGAAAAATGTCCAACATGAGCTGTAGCTCTGTAAACTTACCATGACTTTTATTAAGCTAAGAAGTTTTTTCTGAGGATGATACTCCTAGCTTTTAATTGAAATCAATATAAATTAATCCATGGGTCATACCACCTCTATCTGAGCGATCTGCTGTAGAATACACACTAATGCTCCCTTCACTTTTTCTCCCTTAAATTGATGACTATAGGAGATGACTGAGGGCATGCAACAATGTCGCAGCAGGAGAGCACAGCCTCACTGAGGTCTTTGGTTTCAGAAGACTCTACATTTTCATCAGCTGAATGACTGTCAATTTATTCCTGGCATCACTGATTAGGACCATCAATTAGAATTTAGTGCTGGAGCAGAAAGATTGAAGATGAATACACTTTTTTAATGACTTCTGCAAATTATTTTAAATATAGTATATTCTCACCTTTGCTCCTCCACAGCAAAAATCACAAGTACCATATTCTGTATGACTCAGAGGTTTCTTTAAGAAAAAAAAAAATTCAAAGTATGCATTTATTTTTAGCTTTTGTGTCACCCTTTTTTTGTGTCACATACTTACAGCCTCGGTGTGAATGGGATGCACAGCAAAGAACATTGCCGTGACAAAAGCAAGTCGACAGTCCTTGAACACAGCTTTGTCACAAGTGTACATCAGCACAAGAGTCACTAGACAGTGTAAAATTACATTCACTGCGTGGAAATAGAAGGGGTTCATACCAGCCAGCAATATGTTTAACCTGTACAGAAACAAAACAGAACCATTACTAGACTGGAGAGGTCTTGTCCTTGCTATTGCAGGACATCTTTCAAACACTAAGTTATGCTTTTTGAATGATTTGCAGTCTTATAATGTACGTGCTATTAAACTAATTAGTGAGGATCGCTCTGAACTTCTGGTTTATCTGATTTAAGAGAAACCACTTCCCCAAATTTTAAAATACGTGGCTGCATTTTGCAACCTTTTTGACACGGAGATGGGAGAGGCTTGTGCCCTCCCAGTACAGTTTACTGCAGTGAGACAACGTCTGTGCTTCCTTAGCAGCAAATAACACTGGCCAACATCAGAAGTACGCAGTGCTTGTCCTATTTCCCTGTTGGCACCTTCTGCGGTTGTCTCAGCCACGTGGCAGCTTTACAATACGGGTAGTTATTTGCTACTACAGAATAGATGCTTTTGCTTGGGAACAGGCAAGACAAGGACTCTGTAAGGCACTGGAGCATCTGCTTAGCATTACTGGTGCATTTATTCCCATTTAACTTTCAATATCCTTTCACATACTGAAGGTTAAGCCTTTATTTAAACGCTTTACTGACATCAGGGCTGCATTAAATAGCTGATCTAATAGTTAGCATCATTTTTATAAGGACATTGATTGTAAAGATAAGTTAGCTAACACCACCCTAGACTCAATGAGACAATTAGGGTTCATTATTTGTGTCGATCGTAAAAAAAAATAAAATATAACAAGCTGTTACGACATTTGTTTGACAGCGCATAGTAACACATTTTTCTGGTCACTGTTTTTTACAGCCTGCTTGCTTAACAGCTGTTGACAGGCTTTGCCTTACATGCAGTTGAAGATAACTCAATTCTCTTCAGAATTAACTGCATCTGTACATTTGGACAAATACATACATACACATGGTGTCTCTATTTAGGGAAGACTCCATATATGAACAAGGAATTTGGAAGCACTAATGTTAAAGGACATTTCTAACAAAAACTACAAGACACCCAGTGAAAAGATGACTCAATCTAAATATTTCGCATGTAGCTGTAAACATGCTAAAGGGTCAATAATCCTTCCTGTTATTACTAACAGACTCCAGGTCTCCCACGACATGCGTGATGCAACAGCAAAGCCACTGAGTTGTTGCTACTAAGCATACCTTAGTTTTTTGGTGACACAGAGGAGGTATGGTGTGTCTGTGAGGGCCAGACAACATATGCTTTTTATAAATACTCTCTGCATTCCTTACTCATAAGCAACAGAGTGCTATCTGTCCTTGGCTGCATTTTCCAGGCCAAACTAACTTTACCAGACCAGGAGTCTTACTTGAGCATTCCTATGTTGCTCCCACTGGAGTGTGTGTGGAGGCAATAGCTGAAACCCAGAGAGTTTGGGAAAAGCAAGATGTCAGCATGAGTTGACCTTTCCCTTTGAAGTATGGGTTGATGCAGCTACATTTTGACAAGACATCGGTCTGTGTGGTTCAAGAATACATGAAGAGTTGGGGCTTTTTCTTTTTTTCCCCCCATTTCTCCTGCAATTCAGGGTAGCAGCACACATCACTTTTCCTCATTTCTACCAGCACAGAATGACAAACCACAGCAAATGGCAGTAACAGACATCCAGCCAGAGTTTCAGCTGTAAATACACTACAGCAGCAGGAACCCCCAGACTTAAATCTCGTTTTCAGCACGCTGCGGGGAACAAGGGGCAGCGTAGGACCACCCTGCCCCAAAGGAGCTGAAATTCCCACTCAGAGGCACCTGCAGACATGTGCAATGGCAGGGACCACCTGCAGAACCCATTCTTTATACAAATGAATCATTTCTGGCTGTAAATCAGCTGGATGGAGCACAGTCATCACTATTTCTCCCCCTCAAATGCCAAAGTGTGCACTGGCAACCTGATTTATGGAGAAAGCAGATGCGGGTGGGTGAGGACAGTGAGGGCAACGCGTGCTCAGGCTATCAGATATGAACCCATGCACCAAAATGTGAGAGACTCTCATTTATTTATTTATTTGGCCAAGTTATAAGGAGCAATCACTAAAAACATGACATCAGACAATACTCCTGAAAAAATCTCTCATTCGTCTCCGTGCATCACATCTGATCACTTCCCGTCCTGCAAAACAGGTCTACTGGCAAGAAAGGCAGAACCTGGTAGGGGAAGGATCTTCCTGCCCCCATCAGATCACCTATCCCACAAGCAGGGTGCGTTCTTCATGCATCTTCTTGGGGCAAACATCAAGTCAAGGAGGCTTGTAAGCTGTGAGTTACCTGATGTAAGTTACTGAAAATAGCTATGCAAAAGCATCAGCTTCACAGCTTGGCTATTCCCCTGTGTGTTCTTTAAAACAAACAAACAAACAAACAAACAAAGGCAGAACCAAACACAAACATAACATCACCATGGTATTCAGATAAGCCTTCCATTAAACCGCAAAATCTGACTGCAAGCATGCCTCAGTGTATGTTTTAAATACCATCTTTGGTGGTCCATGAACACTAAACATGAATGTGTGCAGGTGCTATATTCACACCCGTGGTTTTTTGCTGCTAAAGCTCTTTGTCGTAAGAAATTAGGCCACATGGCAATGAAGGAAACATTCTTTTGTCCTGAAACAATCCCAGCAGAATGATTTCAAAATCTTAGCAGTGGCTGAGTTTATTGTACATCAAATGGGTGAGCAAATCTGGGGCTCCAAACAGCTCTAATCCAAATCACAAGAACTTTGCAAAGTTCCCCAGCATACTCACACCCCCCATAGGGTGTGAAAAAAGCTGCCTACTATGGGAAGCCAAATTTGCTCCACTGCAGACCAACTTCTGGGCAAGGGAGCAGGAGGTGGGTAAATCAAAAATGACTTCTCCCTTCTTAAACTTTAATATCCTTACAGAGATTCAGTCTTGTCTTTGTTTACCAGCAGCAGCATTACCACAGAGTCATGTAGTAATTATACCTGGTATATGGCTCAGCAAACAAAGGAAGTAAAACAGAGATAGGAAACTCAAAATTAAGTAAGAAGTGGTGTTTCTCCAACTTAAGGTTCATGAACAGAAGCTCTGGCAGGCAACAACAGTACTCCAGTGGGGGAGGGGTTGTCTTTATTTCTGTATCTAAACTGGCTGACAAATGGGGAAAATACTTCAATTTTTTTAGTTGCAAGCCCCAAAGACACCAATACTACCATCATTTCTAATTACAGCATCGTGTAGGCTGGAAGACCATAGCCACTTCTGCATGAAGATAGTAACATCTGTCTGAGCTAAAGCACAACTTGTAAGAAATGTGTTATGGCCTTGGTGGAGCGCACAGCTCAGAGAGCAGATGCTTTGGGCTGGACAGGCTTTTTGAACTGACTGTTCATCAAACCAGGCAGGTGTTTGCAAATAGTATTCTAAAGATTTGGGGCTGAACAAAGCAAGTGACCATGCTCCTAGGAATGGAGACACTTGAAAGAGGAGACACCACCATCTCGGACAAGGAGGTCTTTCTTCAGGGGAGCCACCTGCAAAACACTCAGAGAAGAAGAGTTTTGCATTACTTCAACACCTCTTCTGAAATAGTCCCTGGAAGTGAAGAGGGTGCTAAGCCTCCTGAGAAGTGAATGGCCATTCAAATGCAAAGGCCCTCAAAAGGCCCAGGGGAAAAGGAGGGGAACAGCACATACACCAAAGAGCAGTATCTCAATACTAGGTGATATTGACAGGCATCTTCTAATAGAGATGATCAACATCACCCAAGCTACCACCAAAACAAAATCTCATTACAGAAATCTCAGCATCAATCACATGCCTCACCAGGGCAGAGAAGGCTGCACTGAAACATGGATTCAAGCAAAGACTCTTTTCCCAACACTGGTCTTTGCATTCAAGCGTTGCAGCATGTGTGGTTCAGCATGTCACACCCAAGGCAGAGCACTGCCAAAACTACATGCCCAAGCAGGAAGTATACCAAAATAAGATATATGCCCCAACACAGAAATCCCTTGATTTTGTAAGGCTAATGGATGTTTTCCAGGAACAGTGGTGTAGTTTGCCTTGCCAGCTTTTCCGTTCCTCCACCATCCACTCCAGGAAAAGGAATTACATAGCTCCACCTCTCAGCAAAAGACCTTCACAGGCACCAGCTGTTGAAGGTCCACTGAGTAGCGCTTATAAAAGAGCTCTCCAGAAGAAAGCAAAATCATCCTCGCTCTTAAAAGAGTAAGCAACACCTATCAGGACCCCCAGTCACCCACTCGCCCTCCCTCCCCCCAGCACAGCTGCCTTGTTTGAAGAATGGCATTTGTAGAGCAGGGACCATGCACCATGCTACCCTCATGCCATGGACACTTACTCCTCCTCTAGATATGTCATCAGGCAGGGACACATCTTCTTGGGTAAGCAACTCCCCATAAAGGAAGCCTAGAAATCAAGCGGGATTCACTGACTTCCTCGTCACAGACGCAAAACCAGAGGGGTCTATGCTGCAAGCGTATGGGCTTACAGGCAAAGCCCATACGTATTCAGTTACGATATATAATCACCAGTACCCCCAGGCTCTAATATAGTGCTTTTTATCCACTTGTACATACGAAGACTCATTCAACTTTTTTTAAGGCCTCTTATGATTTAATAATAATGTAAACCGTAATTGCAGAGTTTCTCTTTTTATAGACTTTGTTATTATCCCTGGGCAGCTCTTGTTTAGTTTAATCTGTTTTATTATTTTCAAAAGACTAACAAAACCCACAACATGTTATGAAATAGAAATGCACAGGATAATAATGGTAATTTGTTATAGCAAGTAACACTTAATGGAAAGTCTCAGAGCATCCCACACCTCATAAAACCCTCACAGTTTTTATAGAGGAAGGCTCACATGCAGATTTATATAAATTAATCTAACATACAAGGATGGATTAAGTTTCCTGTGATCTTCCCTTCCTTTTGGGATTGTGCGATATATATGGCAAACTTTATGCAAACTAATGCCCAATTTCAGTGCACAGTGCAATCTC